CCTTCCCAAACCTTCCCAAACCTTCCCTTCCCAAACCTTCCCTTCCCAAACCTTCCCAAACCTTCCCAAACCTTCCCAAACCTTCCCAAACCTTCCCTTCCCTTCCCAGTGTCCCACGGCCACCTCCTGTCCCCACAGCTCTTCCTCAACGCCAAGTGCCACATGATCCGGGACAGGCAAGTCCTGGAGAAGCGGCTTATCCAGCAGGAACTGGCAGAGGAGGAGAAACGCCTGGAAAAGATGATGGAAACGGAGCGGGATAAGGGCCTGTGGATCCAGGAGGACCTGGAGCGCCGCAGGAAGGAGATGCTCGTCAGGTGGGCTCAAGGTTTCCCCCCATGGGAACATCCAAACCTTCCCAGCCAATCCATCCCCATCCCTGGACACATTCCCAGCCCCTGGGAGCGGGATGGAGCCGGAGGGGACATTCCCTGCTCCTGAATTGCCAGGACCAAGCAGGAGGTGGTAAAGCAGATGGAGGAGAGGGAGGCCGAGCGGGTGCTGAGGGCAGAGCAGAAGTACCAGGAGGTGCTGGCACGGCTGGAGCGCCTGGAGCAGATGAGGAGGGAGGACCGGCAGGTCGGGCCAGGGGGGGCTGGGAAAAGGGGCTGGAAGTGCTGGAGGAGCCCCCCTTGGAGGGGCTGGGGGGGGGTTGGAGGCGGCAGATCCCAGATCAGGGATCTCGGGGGGGACCCTCGGGAGGGGCCCCAAAGCCTCCCCGAGCTGGGGCAGGAGGAGCAGGACGAGCAGGGGGGGACATTCTCCGGCTCTTGGTGGCATTGCCAGGCCTGGGAGCAGCAGCAGGAGCGGAAAAGGCGAATTTTCGCGGAGATGAAGGAGGCGGATCGGGAGAACCGGCGGGTGCGGGACGGGCAGCGCGAGCGGGAGCGGCTGGAGGACGAGAAGGTGCTGCAGTACCAGAGGCAGAAGATGGTGAGAGGGGCCCGGGGGTGGCTCCAGGGGGACCCCAGGCAGGGGCTGCCGCGGCTGCCACGGGGCTCTGTCCCCCCCCAGGAGCGCGAGGCGGCCGCGGAGGCGGAGCAGGAGCGGATCCGCTGGGAGAAGGAGAAGGAGCTGGCCCGGCTCAGGGCCACCCAGCAGCGGGACCAGGACTGGCAGGAGGAGAGGGTGAGCGGCCCTGTGCCCACCCCTGTGCCCACCCCTGTGCCCACCCCTGTGCCCAGCCCAGCCCTTGGAGCCCCAGGATGTCTGGAATGGCCCCAAAGCCATGTTTGGGTGTGGAACCCCCCCTGTCCCCTCCACTGTGCCCACCCCAGCCCTTGGAGCCAAGGGATGTCCAGAAGGGCCCCAAAGCTGTGTCCAGGTGGGGAACCCCCCCATCCCCTCCCTATCCCCAGCCCTGTCCCCACCCCAGTCCTTGGAGGCTCCAGAAGGGTCCCAAAGCCATGGCTGGGTTGGAAATCCCCCCCATCCCCTCCACTGTCCCCACCCCTGTCCCCACCCCAACCCTTGGAGGCTCTGGAAGGGCCCCAAAGCCGTGTCTGGGTTTGGAACCCCCCCTGTCCCCTCCCCTGTCCCCTCCACTGTCCCCTCCCCTGTCCCCCCTGGCCGGGCAGGACGCCCTGAGGACCAAGCGGAGCCAGGAGGCGGCGGAGCGGGAGTGGCGGCGGCAGGAGCTGGAGAAGGCCCGCAGGGAGGCCGAGCTGGTGCAGCAGCTGCAGCGGGAGCGCCGCGAGCAGGTGGCCCTGAAGAGGCACACCCTGGCCGTGCAGGTGGAGCGGGAGCGCCAGGAGTTCCTCAAGGTGCTCCGGTGAGTCCTGCGGGGTCGGGGGAGAATCCCAGTGACAGCTGGTGGCTCGGGGGGGGGGGAGACACCCCTAGAACCTCATAGACACCTCAGAGACCCTTCTAGAACTCTGTAGACACCCCTAGAACCTTCTAGACTCTCCTAGAACCTCACAGACACCTCAGGGACCCCTCTAGAACTCTGCAGACACCCCTAGAACCTTCTAGACTCTCCTAGAATCTCACAGACACCTCAGGGACCTCAGAGACACCTCTAGAACTCTGTAGACACCCCTAGAACCTTCTAGACTCTCCTAGAACCTCACAGACACCTCAGGGACCCCTCTAGGACTCTGCAGACACCCCTAGAACCTTGTGGGCTCTCCTAGAACCTCACAGATACCTCAGGGACCTCAGAGACACCTCTAGAACCTCACTGACACTCAGGAACTTTCCAGATAACCGTAGAACCCCGTAGACACCCGTTGGACCTCACAGACCCCTCTAGAATCCCATAGACACCCCTAGAACCCTGTAGATACCTCTAGAACCTCATGGACAGCCCTGGGACCTCACAGAGCTCTCTAGAACCCTATAGACACCCCTGGGACCTTGCAGAGCCCTCTAGAACCCTTTATACACTCTCAGGACCTTGGAAACACCTCTAGGTCCCTGCAGGCACCCCCGGAACACCACTGACACCCCTAGAGCCTCATGGGCACCCCTGGAACCTCAGAGACACCCCTAGAACCTCACAGACACTCCTGGAACCTTCTAGACCCCTCCAAAACCCCAGAGACCACCCCTAGAACCCCACAGACCTCCCCTGGGACATTATTGGCAGCTCTAGAACCCTCCAGACCCCTCTAGAACCCCCC